CCAAATGATGACTGCTCCCGTACATTCTAATAGCTGCATTGATTCTGACAAGCCGTTCTGACACACTGTACATTCTGCGTTCGCAGGGTCCCTCCTTGACAGACTCCTTTTCTCATTTAACCATTCATTGACCGGCAGAGCCACATGGGCTATTAGCCCCTGCATGCTTCTGACTTTTCCCAAGCGGACCGCATTAATTGCCGGCCAAGGGAACGTAGAGAGTTGTCCCGATGGAATCCCCACCCTTTTTTCCCACCCCTTCAATAGTTGAGGCGTAAGAGAAAAGGATCTTCTTCTCAACCTACATCCTATCTGAGTTGTGTAATGCAGAATATTAATTCTCCTTTCTGTTCCCACAGTGCCACTTCTGATCTTCCATGCCCATTCCCCCGGGTTGACTTCCAGATCTTCCAGTGGAGTATTTGGACAGAAAACTGTGAATTCGTTCGTCTCAACTACTCTTACCTTATGCAATTGACTTTTGAGAATGGTTATAGACACTTTGGAGTTCTTATAAAGTAAGGAGGTGGTGGTCCCTTGATGCATGATGGTATATTTGTCTGCCTGAAGCCATTCTGGCCTTGCAGGCTCCTTTCTGTTGGATCAATGTCATCTTGCCATGTGGCCCAGTCCCCTAGCCCCCACTGTGATCCCTTTCTCAAAAGATCCCCCCACCTTTGTGGAATGGCTCTTAGGACGATTTCTAAATTTTCCGACGGGTTGTGACAACCCCTTAATTGCCCCCTCATCTCTTTAGCTGTTTTCCACCTATTTCCTTCCCACAGATGTTTGACCTGCCAGACCCCACGCTCCAGCCACTTACCCCATTTTGTATCTTTATTTGAGAGTGTTAGTGGTTTCCCCTGCGCATCCCTAATTTATTTTTTGGAGATTCCTTAAAAGGACACTGGACCCCGTTTCCAGGAGCCTAAGTTGAGTATTGGCCTCAGCAGATTTGTACCGGGTTGTAAGTTTTTTTGTTTAAAATTTTCCTAGTATTATACTAATGTTCATTGCAATACCATCATTTGCTCTATTACATTCCATGGATGAGGTAGTAGATCCTGCAATTACTATCAAAGTGATTGGACATCAATGGTATTGGACTTATGAGTATTCAGATTATAATACTTCTGATGAACAATCACTTACTTTTGATAGTTATATGATTCCAGAGGATGATCTAGAATTGGGTCAATTATGTTTATTAGAAGTAGATAATCGAGTGGTTGTACCAGCCAAAACTCATTTACGTATGATTATAACATCTGCTGATGTACTTCACAGTTGGGCAGTACCTTCCTTAGGTGTCAAATGTGATGCGCGCATTTTATTTATCTCAGGTTTTTTTTATCAAATCGCAATTGCGGTTAACGGGAATCAAACCCATATCCCCTGCTTGGAAGGCAAACAATTTACCTTTAATCTATATCCGCTATTTACATATTGAATTGATTGRCTCAGGCTCTTCTGGGTGAACGTAAAGTCTCCCTAAGTTCCCGGGCCCTGGTTGTCTCATTGGAATGGAAAAGGTTATGTTTCTCCAAAATAAAATAACATAAAATATAAATAATTAAATAATTAAATAAAGAACTCATTAAGAAAAACTCAAATAATAATAATAATTTTTGGGCCCCGAAATATTTTTGGCGGGGGCCGCCCCTTCAGTTTCGGACCCCGAACGGGACCCCGAACGGGACCCCGAACGCCCGAACGTACAGAGGTCGGCCCAGGGGCCTCCGTACCTACGGGCTGGTAACCATATATGACATGGCGGCGTGTGGCGCAGCGTACAGGCTACCATGGTAGTGGAAGAGCATTGGGTTACCCCCACGCGCCTACTGCCATCGGTGCGACCGTGTCTCCTATTTTTGGGTGTGTCTGGCCACTGACGAGTCGGACGGGAAGAAACACGCATAATTGTTCTGCACTGCACAGCTCTTCGCGTGCAAGTGTGTTTAGTCGGACGGGAAGAAACACGCATAATTGTTCTGCACTGCACAGCTCTTCGCTTGCAAGTGTGTTTAAACGGTGGTGTAGAATTCAACGGAGCAGCTTTGCGGCGTTGGCGCGAGGGAGTGCGTCATTCTCGCGAGAGCATCGTAGAGTATTAAAGTCTTTTTGCGGAGACTACATCTTCATTAGCCCGTGTAGGGAGTTGAGCGGGGACGCGGCAGTGTGTGGCGCATGGTACAGACACCATGGCCGTGGACATTACCACGCACATTACCCTCCTCCCAAACCCCGACAAGATTGTAGCCAAGGTCTGGGCCAACAGACTGCTGGCCCGCCTCTCGCACGTGGTCCCGACACTCCCACACTCCCACATCAAACTCAAATAGTCCCAATACTCCCATACTCCCACATTAAACGCACAAACCTTCGCACACTGCAGTGGTAGATCATCCATAGGTGCTTGCCCCATCCGGACTGGCTAGCATCACGAAGCAATCTAGAAGATAGCGGGGCTCCATCCTGCTATGCACCGCGCTATGCACCTACTGTGGAAGATCTGCTCCTAAGAAACGGGCCACCCCCTTTAGCACTGTCTGCTGGACTGCCTTATGGTGGCCCAGCTGTAGAGATGATGGGGTGCTACCTGGCACCACCATTGGATGCAAAATCCTCCTGGTGGATGACACCCCCCCCCCATTCAGCGGATTGGTCGCCCTTCATGGCCGACTTGTTCAGGTACACGAGACTCAGGGTCATGATGGCTGCATGGAGAATGAGATGTTCGTACACAACATGTATACGGCTTCATCCAGGCGAGAACAACGGTGGCAGAATCAATCACTGCCATCACTCCTGTAGACTGGAAGGACCTTAAACAAATGCTAGCAAATGAATGCTGCYCCCCCCCCCCCCCAAAAAAAAAAAAAAAGATACGGCAAGACGAGCTGAGATTTCATCTAACTTCCGGACCCTCTGGGTGGACAAGGAATCAAGGCTCTGCGAACTCAGATGGAACAGTAAGTTGGCTACCGTCTTCACCCGAATAGAACACCCGGCAATAATCGCCGTATCTGGGCTGAAAGTTGTGCCAAATACAGCTATAATGACCGTGCGTTCTATTCGGGTGAGGACGGTAGCACCAGAGGGGCAATGGGAACGTCTGCCAGGGGATCAATTCTCTATACCTTTCCAAGAGACTAATTTTACACTCATCACACAGCCTGTGCAGGCTCCTGTCGGACCCCCATAACCCTCATGCCAGCCAAGCACGGATCTCTATAACACTGTCTATGGTTCCACCTTTTCCCCCCCTTTCCTTGCTCCCATCGTACCCTGCCCTGGGCCCCTGCCCTTTCCCCAGCCCCCTATCGCCCCTCTTCTGCTGTATGCCGGCCAAGCATGGATCTCCCTTCGGGTCGTCAGAGTCCTATTATGTTGTGGAGTCAAGGGGAGCATCAAGCACAAGAGCCACCAATTGGACTGACAATGCATGGGACACAGAGGCCTGATGGCCTGGCTCACATTACACAGACGATATTAACCTGATGATGATTGGAAACTCATGTGTTGTACCGGGGTGCTGGACCCAATCCCCAGCAGATTAGCAGTAGCAATCCGTGTCATACTCACACTAGGCCCTCAAAATCGCAAAATTCCCAAATGAGCGGCCAGATCTAGCCCTTCCTTTACAAGGACTCTATCTGGCCGCTCATTTTGCTATATGGCAAGTTTGAGGGCCTACTGTAGTGTGAGTATGCTCTCACACCGCTCACAAACAGACAACGACACTTGGGAACCAAACTATTGTGGTGTACCGGGGTGCTGGACCCAATCTCCAGCAGATTAGCAGTCGCAGTCACACGTCAGTATTGCAGTCACACCTCAGTACAGTACTCCAGTCACAAGTCAGTACTGCAGTCACACGTCAGTACTGCAGTCACACGTCGGTACTGCTGTCACACGTCAGTACTGCTGTCACACGTTAATACTGCTGTCACACGTCAGTACTGCAGTCACACTGCTCACAAACAAGAAACGGCACCTGGAAACAGCTTATTACACGTAATGCACAAGTACATGGGGGACTGTATATGCCTGCTTACCACTTTGTGTGGAACAAGCGAATCGCAGTTTTTTTTATTTTTTTTGGGAACGAATAGCAGTTGTAGTTACAGGCCGTGCAGGCCCAAACGTTACAGGAAACGGAAACACACACACACACACACACACACACACAAAAAAAAAAAAAAAAAAAAAAACATGAAAAGTTGAAAAAGCCCAATAAAAAATATTCCACCATCTGCTATAAGCTGTGTGACCACCCTGATACCAAATGGACCAAAAGTCGGGGCTATGGGACTCGCTGCACTACTCTCGAAATGTGCAAAACGAGAGTGAATCTTCCGCTAGAATATGGAAAGATACACGGCCATGATTTTTGACTTTTGTGCATTTCAAGAGTAGTGCAGCGAGGCCCTATGTCTCATTCCCAAAGGCAGCCTTGTGCGAGTACGCAGCACAGCTAAACCTCAAAATCGCAGTTGAAAAATATTATGCAATTTTGCTATTGAAAAATCGCATATTATGCAATTTTGCTATTCGTCTGTGAGTATGCCCTTACTGCTGATACTGCAGTCACAAGTTCACAACCAGTCAACGGTACTTGGGGGAACTGCTGCTTCAACAAAATGCACAAGTAGACAAGCCTCAGCATAATGTCATGTCTCTTTACCATACTTTGTGTTGAATAGGGACGGCGGACCCGATTTCCAGCAGTGCTGCTCCCCACCAAATAGATGGAGCCTTCAGTACAAGCCTGCAGTACAGGGATACAGGGACCTGCTTAAGGGGAATGCTCGTATCATCCCGCTAAGCAGAACCCCTGGGGCATGAAGTTTTGATTGGGAAAAAAAGAGAAAAAAAAGACATGGTGTAGTGACGTAGGAGGGGGCGGGCGCATAAAAAAGACAAAAAAAAAAAAAAAAAAAGGAAATCGTGGGTGGATTACCTGTATAACAAGAACAGAAACGACAAAAAAAGATCACCTGTATAGCTCGCCGAAGATTACCGCTCTCAAACCGCGATTCAAACTGCAGGGTTGCGTCTGACCAGCCCCCAGGCGAGGGGGAGCTTTCCGATTTCGCCCCAGACCCGCAACAAGTCTCTCCAGCTCCCGCTCCCGATCCCGATCCCGAGCCTGATGCCGATCCCGCTCCTAATGCCACCCCTGGTCCCGACCCGGAAGCTGCTAAGCAGATCCGGCCACTGTCGTCTTGCAGATCACTACCCACACCTCGCTGCTCCCTGATGTTGACGTCAACAACATTGCTGGTGTTGGCAGCAGCAGCAGCAGCAGCAGCAGCAGTACATTCAGCGTCCTCCACGGCTGTGGCTGCTGCCTCCGACGCCGCAGCAGCGCCTTCGCGCCCCGCCACCCCCCCCTCTCCCCCCTCCACGATACTTCCTCCTCCTCCTCCTCCTCCTCCTCCTCCTCCCATCGCTACAGTCCACTTTTTGCCACCTGGGCTTTCTTCAACTAGAACAGCCGAAAAATCTTCTTCCGAGTCGTACACGGATCGAGGGCGCCGCGCAAGACCTGATATTCTGGCTGCTCGCCTCAACGTCTCCGTGTTGGCCATCGACTGCGCCATGCAGTCCTCCTGCGTCGGTCCAAAGGGCGCAGGCTGTTGCTCAACGCCGACTTCCGCGATATGCCGATAGGCTCGAACACGGAACCTTACGGAAGTGCCAGTCTTGGCCATGACTTCCTGCTGCGCATTGTCATCCGCCGACGGTGCGGGGGGTTCAAGATCAGACAAAGTCGTGACACGTGTCCCCACCTCATCACTCTCCGCTCCCCTTCTTCTCCCGTGATGTGTATTCCGCACCTGACTACCGCCTGCACCTCCTTCCGATGCCAAACTTTCTCCTCCTCCTCCTCCTCCTCCTCCTCCTCCTCCTCTGGCTCCTGCAGTTCTTCGACAGCTGCTGGATCTAAACAAAGGGGCGCAGCCCCTTTTCAACCTGGCAATCCCGACAGACTCCTCGTCGGGATCTTTATCTTCACAAACACTAGCAGACAGACTGGTCCCATCTTCCTCTTCTTCCACATCTTCCACGCGTCCTCTTCTACCACGTCTTCCATATCCATCCTCACCTTCTTCCTCTTCTTCCTCCTCCTCCTCCTCCTCGTCCCCCTCCTCCTCTGCCTCTGCCTCATCCTCCTCGTTCAGATCTTCGTCTTCTTCGTCCATGTCATCCACACTACCATCGTACACTTGTCCGCCAACTACACTTAGTCTACCGTTGCACACCTGTCCGTCAACCCCACTACCCGCTTTATCCCCCTCCCCCTCCCCCTCCCCCTCCTCGTTCTCATCTTCGCGCGCAAGCGACACTACAGAATAAAAAGTGGGCGACGGGATCTCGTCGTCTATCAACCCATCATCCAACGGTCCACGATTTCCGACAACACCAACGTCGGCATGCCTTCTCAATCCCAATCCCAATCCATCATCGAGTCGGGACAAGTTCCCAGGCGCTGCTACACTATCAGTACGTCGCGATACCTTGCTCCGACGACGGCCACTCTCTCCTCCCCCTCCCCCTCCCCCTCCTCCTCCCAATACCATCGTCCCGATCCGACTTCCATCCAGGCCTACAGAAACTGATGTTCGCCGTCGACTACTACTGTCCCCAGCATCTCCTCCTCCTCCTCCTCCTCCTCCTCCTCCTCCTCCTCCACCACCTCCACCTCCTCGTCCTCCTCCTGCTCTACGTTCTTCTTCGCCGCCCCCGCCTCCGGTTCTAGTGCTGACGGTATCGCTGAGGTCAGGGCTTCGATTCCTCTCTGACGCTTTACTCTGGCCATCGGTTTGGTTCCCCGTCGCCGCGGCCATTGCTGAACCCACCATACCCATACTCATCAACCTTGGGTTTGCATCTAATAACCTGCTGCTGCTGCTGCTAACGGTAGTGCTACAACAAGCCGCCGCCGCCGCCGCGTCTATGGCGTGGAGAATCTCCTTGTTCATCTGCATAGTGCGGAGGAGCGCCGCCGTGTCGTCCTCTAGCAGCTTGTACACTTTGTGATTGAAGTTATTCTGATCCTTCGACGTGGCAGGACCTCCTCCTCCACCCCCTGCCCCTCCTCCTCCTCCTGTTGCTGCTGATGCTGTCTCTGCCTTCCCCAGAGATGTAGAGGTTAATACTCTTGAGGAGGTGTGTCTTTCCCCCCCACCTTTACGATGAGAGGCAGAGTGATGCCGTCTTCTGGACTTCCCGCCACTTCGTGGACGGCCTCCACTTTTCTTGTGCGTACCAGAGCCCACCACTCCTCCTCCCTCTCCTCCTCCTCCTCCTCCTCCTCCTCCTCCCCCGTTTGCCGCTCGCTGACTCAGTGCGTTGTGATTGACCGCCCGCACCCTCCTCTTCGCTCCGCTCTTTATCGACACTGCTGCTGCTGCTGCTGTCGTCGTCGCCGTCGTGGATGATGACGTCATCGTTAATGTCGTAGCGGAAGCAGCCATAGCTGCTGCTGCATTCGTCGATGAGAGTTCGGCTTCGACGATCGTGGATCTCTTCTTCACTGCAAGAGAAGCAATATGCAAAGACGATGACGTCAACCCTTCCACGGCACCTCCTCCCGCAATGCCCTGGGCACCCCTCGGGAATACCGAGGACCCCTCTTTCTCCTTCTTGGGAGCCCCGAGACCCTTCCCCGCCACCTTTTTCAATGCAGATATAAATCGACCCTTCATCACTTCAGCCCCACTTTCCAGCACCCCTAGCACTATTGGGGGACCCTCTGATATCGTCGATTTGCCAGGGGGACAAGGTTGACAGCCTGTCATAACCCCCCCCTCTCTCCCCCCTCCCCCTCCCCCCTCTGTTGTAGACGAAGCCATCGATCCTTCAATCCACGGCAGATCTGGTCGCGATCGGGATCGTACACCAACGCCCAAAATAACGCTGTTTCCTATTCTAATCAGAGTGTAATCGCGAGGGGGATTGGTCAAACGATCTGTTCCACTAATTAGTTTGACCAATTTCTTTTTCACCCTCTCCTCCTCCTCCTCTTTCTCCTCCTCCTCCACCACAATCTGAACCTGCTACCCGTCGTCGTCCACGTGTCCTTAATCTCGTCGTTCTCGTTACAGTATAGTCCCGTAGTAGAGACGAGGACCCGCTTGCATGCTCTCTGTGTCTCTCGCCGTCTATCCTCTCAATCTACGGTCTGGAGCGTCCAATGCAGATCCTGATCCAGATGCCAATCCAGATAATGGCAATCAATCCGACAGAGCGAGATCCTGTCTGAGTACTCACGCATTTCACTGGCTGATCCGACCACCACATTCTCCCTCCCTCCCGCCCTGCTACTGCCCTTTTTTTTTTTTTTTTTTTTTTTTTTTTTTTTTGGTTTTTTTTTTTTTTTTTTTTTTTTTTTTTTTTTTTTTTTTTTTTTTTTTTTTTTTTTTTTTTTTTACCTGCTACTGCTTCTGATCAAACCTTGAGCTTGATTCACGTTCACGTTCCGTCAGCGCACATTGTACAGACCATCTGCCCCTCCCTTTCTCCTTCCTCCTCCTCCTCCTCCTGCTCCTCGTCCTCTTCGATCCTGCACAGCCAGACATCACGCAGGTTGTCAGCAGCAGACCCATCTCGCCGCCTTTTGTTTCTCTTGCCGTCCAGCTGCTCGCTCTCCTTCTCCTCTCCCCCCTCCCTCTCCTTCTGGGCTCAGCTGTGAATGTGGACTTGTTTGCAGTCAGATGCAGTCAGATCCCCACCCTCTTTGTCTCCCTGTGTCTCCAGAGCTCAGCTCATCTGGGCGGTCTGGAAACCAGGTGCATTCAGTGACCAGATACATATCGCCCTGATGTGTGTGAATGGTATGGTACAAATGTAACTAGTGATCAACAGATCACGAGTTCAAGTCCTGGCGGGAACATCGGATTCATTCAATAGAATCAATACTGCTACGACAGGGGTTATCCCATTCGAAAAGGATAAAAGCGACCGCACAGGTTCGGGCAATGGTTCTGGTCCGGTCGATGGTCCAGGTTCTTCGGTCAATGGTCCAGATTCGGTCAATGGACGTGCTAATCCACTCCCCTCATCTCTGGGCATCCTCCTCTTCTGCCTCCTCCTCCTCCTACTACTGCTGCTACTACTACTACACCGTGTTCCGGGGCTAGGTCCCACTTACACGAATTAAGCGATGTGGGACCTTGCCCCCGCCGAGAGCAACCCACCCTGATCATAAATGTATAAGCTATCTTTCCAGTGCTGGATGCATGCCTTATATTCACGGGAAAGACGATAGTGGGTTTCTGTGTCCTTCCTGAGTCCGCTTAAACCTACCGACTGTCTACATCCAGGCTGCCTCAGGCCCATTTCAGGCACTACCGTCTTCCCCCGAATAGAACCCACGGTCATTATAGCTACATTTGGGCTACCTTTGAGTCTAGATACCGTGGCAATGACCTCCAGCTATGGCCACTTACTTTCCAAGACTCCTCCTCCTCCTCCTCCTCGTCCCCTCCTCTGCACTCTTTTCTTTCCCTGTGTGTGTGTCCATTCCGTATGAAATACCCGTCGTCACCTGGAGACAACGTCCTGTCAGTATCTAGACTGGAAGGTACCCTGAATGCAGATATGTGAGGGGAAAGATGGGTCAGGTTGGCAGCAAAAGAGACCGTCCATTTGGATCAGCTCCTTTTCACATCTTCCGAGGATGATCTGGATTTCCTGTTTTCTATTATTTGACATATTAACATCTCCTTGACAAAAGGCACTTACACCACTGAGCGGCGGACCAGGAAACGCTGGTGGGCTTGCATGCACGCATAAAGCCGTTCAGAAATCGAGAAAAGCCGAGGCGCGTTCAAAAATATCATACCGTATTTGGCTCGAAAAGCGCACTGAGTCATACGTACGCATGCAAAAAAAAAAAAAAAAAAAAAAAAAGCGGCGCGGGCCAGGTGGGCTTGCATGCATGCATGAAGCCGTTAAGAAAAGCCGAGCAATTGCGTTCAAAAATATCATACCGTATTTGCCTCGAAAAGCGCACTGGGGTCATCCTAAGTACCATGAAATTTTATTATTATTATTATTAATTTTTAAAGAACATCCGGGGCACTACTACCGTAGCCGTGGTGGGAAGAGCACCCACCACTGCCTTCGTCCCCCGAACATAAGGCATGTGCGTTATAAACGAATACAAGGCAGACCACGCATTGTATTGGTTTACAAAGCATATGGGTTATGTTTGAGGCGCCTGCAGCAACTTTTTGGACAGAAGGGGGCCGGGTCCAGGTTGAGTTCGCAGCCCGTCGGGGTTGCGTTTTCCCCCCCTGAGACATTTTCCGTTGTCGTTCTTTATACCGGTCGTTCATTCGGGCCCATTGGTCATTCAAAGGCTGGTAAAATGAACGCCACTGGCATTTGGGGGGCGGCGGCAGTTCAAGCAAATCCAGGACCGGTAGCTGTCCGTGGCGTTTTCCTGGGAACCCCGAAGTCCAAAAAAAATTGAAACGGCGTGCGGGCCGCAGGGCCTTGAAATTCGAATCTGAAACGGTGGACCCAGGCCTGAAACGGCGTGCGGGCCGCAGGGCCTTGAAATTCGAATCTGAAACGGTGTGGACCCCGGTTATCTGCGTGCCATCTGGATTTGTTCCG